TCCTCTGCCCCCCGAGTGCACAGATTTTTGTGCACCAGGCCTCTAGTCTATATATATAAAGAGCCAGGATCCATAAGGACCTAAGGCTCGACCAAACACTGGAAGTCAGTGCTGGGTTGCTGTGGTGACCCAGCACTGACTGCAGCTGGTACTGGCGCAGTGACCCAGCACTGACTGCCAAGGGGGCTGTGGATCAGGCCCAGAGAGAAGCCTGCAGACAGAGGCAGGGTCTGATCCGCAGCCTCTGTGACAGCTGTTGATCAGCTGTTGCCTCTCTCTTTCTCTCTGGGCTTCCCCAGCAGCCACACCTCTGTTTCTCTCCAGGCCTCCAAGGGGGCTAATCAGCCCGACTCTTTGATCAGGCCCAAAGATAGGCCTGGAGACGCTGACTGGCATAGAAACCAACCAATCAGAACCTAATCTGAGTGAACTGTGAAAGCAGAACCTAAGGTGGGGGCTGAGGATGGGTTTTAAAATGACTGCTTTGGCAGTATAGTGCATATGGCTGGCTCTCAGTCCAGATATAAAGATTATGTATTTTTGTCTGCCAAGAGCAACTCCTCCTGCAGAAAAAGGCTTTTCCCCCCATTTAAGCAATCCTATCCTATATAATCTAACTATACTAATAAAAGGGTAATATGCTAATTAGACCAGGTCAACTGGCTATCTTCCAGATGTCTGACTTCCTTCCAGACAAAGCCATGGTGGTGGGGGCCGAGGCAGAGGCCATTAAGGGTGATCAGGCCGGCAGGGGATAGCACTTGGGGGCAACCAGGCTGGCAGGGGAGGGCCATTGGGGGCAAGATCAGGCCAGCAGGGGAGGGCAGTTGGGGGCAATCGGGCCAGCAGGGGAACAGTTAGGCATCGATCAGGCCGGCAAGGGAGTGGTTTGGCGGTGATCAGGCTGGCAGGCAGAAGCAGTTAGGGGTAATCAGGCAGGCAGGCAGGCAGGTGAGCGGTTGGGAGCCAGCAGTCCCAGATTATGAGAGGGATGTCTGACTGCTGGTTTAGTCCCGATCCCTGTGGACATCCCCCGAGGGGTCTCAGATTGGAGAGGGTGTAGGCTGA